TCAGCGCCTGAGGTGCGGAGGCGCTGACGCGAGCCAATATAGGTGGTGTTATAGAAACTACATTCTTCTTGTAGTCAATGGGTCGGGAATGCAGCTGAATATCATTTCCCAAAACAGAAAATATTGCAGTAATGTATTCCATTGCAGTCTGATAGAATTGTCACACTTCAGAGAAAAAGCTATGGACTGTAAATTATGATAGGACATCAGACTACTTGGTCCGAAATCCGATGGCTATCATGAAATCCTCATTTTTCTTTTGGTCAGCCGAGTGTCAGACATTTGTGGAAAATTATCACCCTGTATAACAGTATGCAAGCCAGACTGAAAGTTCTATGTAGGTATGGAAATTTAACCGTGTCTGGAGAACATACCTCTCCCTGGAGGTATGTACTCTACTTAATAATAATAATCCTTCTATTTTATATATTGTCTTATCACACAAGTGAGATGTCTCAAAGAGCCTTGTAGTATTTTACTGTGAAGTGTAGTGACTGTGTATTTGTAGAGAAATGCACCATCCTAATTTGTGCACCATAATGTCCCACAAATTACCATGTAGCAAATAATTAATTTATCTGGGGGTTTATTGGCCAGGACACCAAGAGAAGCAACATTCTCTTTTAAATAGCCCCATGGGATCTTTAATGTCAATCTGAACGGGTTGACAGGACTTTTATTTGATATCTCATCCAAACGATAGCACCTCTAACAGTGCAGTGCATCCCAGCCACTGCATTGGATTGTCAGCCTTGCGAGTTCAAAGTGCTGATGTGGAGCTTGAACTTACAACCTTATGACTCAGAGTACTGCCAACTGAACCAGGTGGATATCTCACCTAATTCTGGAGAGTATTAGGCTCAGGTTTGCAAGATCCAAGCCTTGGGGACCCCAAAGCCTTGGGGACCCCAGAGTGTGTGTTGGGCTACTTTTGGAAGCTAACCATCTAACACCATTTATACTATACACTGGCAGATTCTTACATATTGGTTACAGGTGAACTTCTGCATCCAAAAATCACAGATATTTTATATGTTGAGAAAGCTTTTCAGTTTTTCCAGGGAATAACAACAACAACTTGCACTTATATAGCGCCCTCCATGCTTCTCAGAGCGCTTAACAGTCACGGAGCCTGACTCCATGCCAGTGGGGGAAGGGGTGGGGAGGTGGCTGTAAGCACGGTCAAAGATGAAGGTTTTCAGGCAGGACTTGAAAGAGGGGCAAGAGGGGGCAAAGCGGAGGGATTGAGGGAGAGTGTTCCAGAGTTTGGGGAGTACTAGCTGAATAACATCTGTGGTCATTATTTTGTCAATTTTGGTGAAAGTGTTTTCCGTTGGAGTGTTACAGGTAATATCCAACAGATCAATTGTAACTACTGGCATGTCTTCCTTTGATACCTGACAAACAGTGGGAGCAGGTTGTTGTTATTGTCATTACTTTCTATTACACACTTCCTCTGGAAGTGCAACAGAACAACCCAAAACCTGCTGCATCAGAGTTCTTTTTGTGCAACAAAATGCATATTTAGCAGCTGTCAGACAGAACATTTTTTAAGCACTGGTTTCAATGCTCCAAGATGCTGTCCAGCATGAAGGATGCTATATAAATGCAAGTTGTTGTTCTGCATAATCAACTACATTTGATGATGATAGAAACGAGAACTTCTCCTTGTGTTATGGACAACAATCCCCCAGATATAATCAATCATTTTCTTCATGCTGTTTGTGGCATATTGCTGTTCGTGAATGAGCTGTTGCTTTCATCAACAAAATGCACAGTCATTGCACTTTAGGGTCTATCTTGTAAAGAGTTGTGAACCATCCTCCTGACTTGAAAGGCGATATATACAATACAGTCCAATCATACTTGCTGTACGTTGGCAGGATGTCCCAACCGCTTGAAAATTCTGACTGGGCATTGGAGTTGAGGGTGGGAGCTTGGGGGAATGGAGGGAGTAGGGGAAAGATGACTGAAAGCGTGGTCAAAGAGATACATTCTGAGGTATACCTTGAAAGAGGGGAGGGAGAGAGCGAGTCAGAGATCCCTAGTAATGGAGTTCCAGAAAGCGGGTGCCAAGGAGCTGAAAGCCCACCTGCCAAGGGTGAGGTGACTGTGTATTGTCTTGATGAAAGCAGCAGCCCATTCATGCACATCAATATGCCACAAATAATGATGAAGCAAATGACCAATTATATCTGGAGGAATCTCCATGAAATTCTCATTTCTATCATCAATGGGGCAGATAGAGTGAGAGAATAGTAAATTCAAAGATTGTTGCTATTTATTTATATGGGCTGTGCTCCACCCAAACACTTGCTAAGACGTTACAAAATGTGAGCAAGAGGTAATTGTTGACCTTTGCCCTCCATCTGGGTAGACTGAACATAGAGAAAAAAATACATGATTCCATCTCTCATACCTACCAATCAATTTCTTCAAATAGCTATCTATCTCCTTCTTGAAATTACTGTCACAGTCGGCCTCTAACACTTACCTGAGTAATCTATTCCACTTTTTCATCACTCTATATAAAACAATTAAATCTAAGCTGTTTACTTTTCCTCTTCAGAGGGAGGTTTTATATTTCCTTGCAGAGTTTGTCAGCTGTTTTTGAAATGAGTCCCACCAGCCACTTGGGACGTCCTCCCGATATGAAAGGCGCTATACAAATTTAATTTTGTTTTGTAATTTTGTATTGTATATCCTGGTCTCCATCAACCCTCCTAGAAACCTATTTCAGTTGTTGAACATCCCCTGTGTCCAGAAATACTTCTTGGTGTCCTAAAATTGCCTTCACATCCCTGAACCAGAGCCAAACTACTTAAAGAGGTTTTCGAGTGTATGTTCTAGGCTGACACTTAAGTGCAATTTTGAGGGAGCACTTCATTGTTGGAGGTGCTATCCTTCGGATGAGACGTTAAACTGAGGTCCTGTCTGTTTGTTCAGGTGAACTTAAATGAACTGTGAGACTATTTCTCCAGTATCCTGGCCAACAATCCTCCAGTTTCATTGGTATTGTGATTCCTGGCTGTCTGTGGGGCATAGCTGTGTGCAAATTGGCTGGTGTGTTCAGCTTTGAATGCCCATGATTGCATTTTGTAGGAAACTGAATTGCTTTAAGACTTTTTGACATGGTAAAGTGCTATATCAAGGATTATTTTATTATTTTTAACCATGTTGTTAGGTGTTCTGGAGAATTCAACCACTGAGCATGTGTATTTCATCAAATAATGCTTCTTTCTTTGGTATATTAATATGAGCATGGTAATTAACAAAAAATCCAAAGAACAATGCAGAAAAGATCTTTTCAGGCTTCAGTTGTAGGGTTATGTATTTCTTATCGATCTTGCACAGAGCTTGTCAGGGAAGTTAATAGAAAGTTCAGGTCCACCCAAGGCCTGAACACCTCTGCCACAACTAGGGAGGTCCTCTTTGCACTTCTTTCTCATCTCCAGATAAGATGCAAGAAAAAGTATTGTTAGAAAAGTAATAACTGAGTTTTGTAGGATACTCATCTGAGATCAGAGGAAAAATAAGACGGAAAAAATATCTATAGATTCAAGTACAGCATTATTAAAGGTTATAGCTGTCATTTGACTTGTGAAAAATGTGTCAAAATCATGTCCTCAACGAGTTTAAAGAAAAAGCTTTTTATTGTCTCTTCAAAGGTCATAGAGGAAATAAAAATGTTGTGCTTTCACCATTACACTCCAAGAGGAACAAAGGTTGTTTGTGCTTTGTGCTCTGCTCAGTCCGTAACATAGATGCACTTTGTTTCCATAGCCGCATTTGGTTTTATTCTAAAATCACACTTTGTATGCTGATCTCATAATGGAAAAGCTTATCATTTTATTAGCTGAAATAAATAATCTGCTGTACCCTTCACCCTAGCTCTTAAATGAATTGCCTTGTTCTAGTCCACCAACCAATATCCATCTAATGCAGCCCATGTACCTGCAAATACAGCAGCACAAACATAACCAGATCTCTGCTGAATTAATGCCAGCAGCCTGATTGCCTATTACACTATTATAGAACTTCTGTGGTTTCTTTATTGAGAAAATTAAGTGAAGGAACATAGCCATAATGTAGTGAAAAGAATAGGAAAGAAAAATAAGAAATATCTGGAAGTAGCTGTGTAACACTAAGCTTGGACTTTGAAAGCCTGTTGGTTGTAGGAGGATGAATGAGAAGACTGAGGGATGTATGGATTTACATAGATGTGGCCAAAGAGCAGAGATTAGAGCGTTGTTGGCTTCTTTGGTGAATGATCACCCTGACAAGCAAAATTGTGATGTCCTGAAGCTTCTTTTTTTAATATACTGTGAAATTATTAGTAAATGAGAGGATAGGGTTAGAGGGTGAGTGGAGATGTTTATTAAAATTAAGAAAAAATTGAGTGGGAGGAAAAACAAAAGTGGATTAATTATTTAGAAATCCATAATGGCAATCATGCAATAACTTTAGAAAGTGCAGGACCAAGTGCAACCAAGCAGAACTCTGAAAGGCGAGAGAGAACTTGTTGAAGGACAGATGAATGCGAGCAAACTTTCAAGTATGAGTAAACGTGCAATGAACGTTGAAGTGATTGAAGAGGATAGAGTAATGGAGTGAGGTTCTGTGCAGATATCAATCTGATTACAATTTGAGGTGAAACACAACTCTTAGAGGTCAGTTTTATCTCAGGAGAAATTGAACCATAGGGATAGATGAGTGGTGGGAAAGAGGATTCACGTAAGCAATATCTGGGTTAAAGATTTAAGAATATGTTATTATATTAGCAAATTCTAGTTAGTTTAAAATGCATATTGTGGCTCTTACGAAGAACTATGATAGACATAATGAGCCGAATGGCCTTCTGTGCTGCCAATTTGTATAGTTCCATGGTACAGTGGTCAAATGGAGTGGCTCCATACCCCTATTGCTTTACGTTGGGTGGTTTGTCCTTCAGTAGAAATAACTCAGTTGAATATATGATTTGTATTTTTTTCATTGTCTAGGTGCTGGTGGCTGGTCCCCGCTGGACTCTGACCATTACCAATGGTTACAGGTGGACTTCGGAAGCAGGAAACAGGTCACTGCCATAGCAACCCAAGGCAGGTACAGCAGCTCCGACTGGGTGACTCAGTACAGACTACTTTATAGTGATAAAGGACGAAACTGGAAACCATATCATCAGGATGGCAACATTTGGGTATGTTATTGAACAAATATTATTAAAATCTGAGCAGTACGAGGGAAACTATAAAGTGTACTGTATATAGTTACAATATATGTCCTGGTGGATCAGATAAAGAAGAAATACTGGGCACCTTATTATTATTGTTATTTGTATGATTATTATTTATTATTATTATCTGGCTATGTATTTGCTATAGTTAACTTTTCAGTTGACATAGCAATGGAAGATGAGACTCTATATTAAAACCTCAACTCAGTAAAAACAATTGATAAACAACTATTATTAAATCTGTGGCAATACAAAGGAAATTGTGTCTTGGTGAATGGAGCAAGCATATATATACTGTATATAATTACAATATATGTCCCGGTGAATCAGATGTAGGGAAGAAATACTGAGGAGCTGGTGACACGCAGTAAGCAGGCCACCTGCAGGCATACCTTGGGCCAAGGTCTTAACTATTAAGAGGACATCAACTTGGCATTGACCAATTTCTGGGTTACTGAATGAGAATGTATGGGTAGAGAGCATTCCTTTATTACTGAAATGAAATGCAAATTTAACAAATTAAACATGATATCAATAAATAACTTTATGCACTTACACATATCTAAGGAGCTAGTATAGTATATTTTGTGGATATGTTTATTACAATCTGATATATTTCTGATTTACTAAATCATGCCAGAGTTGACTTAGACTTCTAACATGTCTACAAAATTCCTGACTCTGCTAGCTAAAAAATTCAATAGATTAATGGTGGTGTACTATAATGTTGAATAGAAAGCTAATTTTATGGTTGCAAAACATTAGGAATAATGTTATTATACTAATATTGACCCAATTTGCTAAACTGACACAATTAAATGATGTAGAAATGGTATGCTTGCCATTTTTTNCTTCCTTTGGACTTTTTTTCCTTCTGTGCTCTCGTTTTCTATCTCTCTTATCTACCAGTCATCTTGGAGGTAGGCGCTGATTTTATTGATTGAAAACCAGCAATAAAGGCACATCTTTCAGCCAATTCAAACTCCCAGAATTTTTAATGATTTAAATCTTTGTGTTGTATATGTGTCCAGTTCAATCTCAGGCATGTCCAAACTAGACGTCAAACAGCTACCCATGGTAGCTGGCACTAATAAATCCATTAACCTAACCTCAATAAATGAGCAAATGATGCAGTCAATCATCAGAAATAAAATGGAAAATAATCAATGATACCTGAAATAAAAAGTCAATCAATTCATGGCTGTTTATGAAACATTGCTGTGTGCAAAATGGTTGCCGTGTTCATCTACAAATACACAATCATTACACTTCACAATAACATCCTGTGAAGTGCTTTGAGGTGACTTGATGACATTATAAGGCAATATCAAATGCAACAATTATTATACCCAGTGAAGTACTTAGACATCCTCCCTACATGAAAGACAAGGTAACAGATGCAAATATTTCTACTATTGTTATCAAGGGCAATATATGGACATAGGTCCAGAATTGGTTGAAGGGAAGAAAGCAGTGGGAACTAGGTCAAAGTGAGGGGAGGTTTTAAGCAGAGTGCTTCAGGGGTCTGTGCTAGGACCTCTCCTGTTCCTTATGTACATTTATGACCTGGATTTGCAGAACAGTGTAAAATAGTTACATTTGCAGATGACACCAAGTTGAGTTGAACTGTGAAATCAGAGGAGGCAACAAAGAGAGTTTGATAGAGTATGCACTTGGGCTGATAACTGACAAATTAAATTCAATGCAAATCAATGCAAGGCACTATATATAAGAATAGAAAAAACAAGTATTCCATGGATGCAATAGGACTTGCCAAGGAAGAGCTGCAAGAAATCTAATTGGCTCATCACTCACAGTGTCAAAACAGTGCGAGGCAGCAATAAACAAAGCAAACAAGATGCAACTGGGTTATGTTGGAAATTCAGTTGTGTTCAGATCCTCAAAAGTTGAACTATAATCAAGCTCTGGCCAGGCCACACCTAAAGTACGAAATACAGTTCTGGTCACCACAACATAAGGGAGCAGTCCAGGCCCCAGAAGTATTGCAGAAGAGAACAATAAGGATGATTCCTAGCATTAGAGAAATGTGCTTTAAGTGACGATTAGACAAACTAGGGCTCTTCAGAGGAAACATTTCAGAGGAGACCTTATAGAGGTATACAAAATTTAAATGGGAGATTGTAAAAGTAAACCCAGAACACTAATGTCAGATGCACTGAGACAATAAAACAAGAGGACACAATGGGCAGTTTCGGGACAGACACAATAAAGTATTTCTTTACCCAGAGGATAAAGATTACCAGAAAGAGTGGTTGAGGCTATGAGACTGGGTTCATTAAAAAAAATAGCTTGATGCTGTGATGGGAAGATGGTAGGGTCGGTATTCTGGAAGTTTGGTATCTTCAAAGGGCCTTCTTCATCCAAACTTCTCTTGTGCATATTCTCAGAGGCCTGCAATCCAGCACCATTTTTCGGCACTTGGGGGTTAGATTATTTGGTTACAAAAGCAGTTTAATATTTGACAAAAATATCTTCATGGATTATTAGTAAGATGTTTTCGTTTTGAGACCAGTTAAATAGTGAATAATGGTGGTTTTATGGTCTTAATCTAGTGGATTCTACTAAATCAGTTGAATTGGAAGTGGAAGTAAACGAGCAACAGATCGAATCTCATTCATTAATACAGCCAGAGGTAGAACTCATTAATGAGAAAACCATGACTGTAACAGTTTACCTCCATAACTGAAGTCAAAAAGAAAGAAAAGGTACATTTAAGATCTATAAATCAAAATAAATTTAAAAGACGTCTCAATTGCAGCAAAAAAATATTTTCAGAAACAAATCTTACATTACATACATTTTTTTCTTTGCCTGCAACATTTTTCATTCACCTGCTAACAGGGTAGGATGTATTTCTACAACTTCATTATTGCTGCTTTTCAGCTGAGAGGCCCCCAGCAGCCTGGGGTGTTTCATCTATCAGTATTATTTCTTTCTGTGCAGGTATTTAGCCAATACTACATACCCCTGCTGATGCAATAGATCCAATTAGCTTCTCACTGAGGTCTAATTTCGAGCACTGCAAAAGGAATTGTAACAAAGCTGCTTTGAGGCAGTACTTCAGATCTCTGCTTGGACATAGAGTTCATAGAGACATTCAACTGCTTGGACATTCATCTTCATAGAGATCAGAGTCCAGGCAGTTTCAAAGGGTCGGCATGAGAAACATCTGGGATTGCAAACATCTGGGACTACTCTTTTGCTTCAAGGACTTTCACAATCTGGACTTCACAATTTCGAAGTTTTGATTAATTCAATAAACCTTATTTGCGATTTTCACATGTTGGACCTCACAGGGAGTACCATAAAACATACATTTCTGTTAGCTTGTTTATCATAATTTTTTTTTGGTCAGCTGGGTGTCTTGACTTGCAGAAACTCATCATTGTGCTTAAGAGTATCCAAACCATTCATGCCATTTACAGCTGAAAATTCCTGTGTCTGGAATGAAATATGCACTCCCTCCCCAGGAGGGATACACCCTGCACACCTAATTCCAGAGAATTAGGATTCACAAGATTACAAGAAACATTCAGACTAACCCTAACGCCTTTCGGCACATCCCATCTCATTCTTCCAGAAAACTCATCCTTACAATCTTCCCATCACAGTATTCTTTGTTTTACACAATGATTCCAATGTCCTGGCCTCACCCACATTTCTGGGTAACCTATTCTAGCTGTTAGTTATAGGGGTAAAGTGCTTTGTAATTGGAGTAGAATATTGATTACATTTCTGTTACACACATCTTTAATGCCCTTTGAAGATAATAATAAATAATAATCTTTACATTTGATTGCCGTATTTTACATTGGGTGGGAGGACATCTTAAAATGGTTCAAATAATTTTACTGTTTAAGTGTAATGACTGTATTTTGTAAGCAAACACAGCAACCAATTTGCATACACCAATGTCCCACAAGATTTCTAAAGTGCATACTATTAATTTGCAGATTGTCAAGTAATATTAATGATGCAACACACAGGGTGAAGAATACGTTAAAATTGGGTTGTAGACAGGGTTTAATATACTGCATAATCAGAGGAATTGGATAGTACATGGTGCTTTTATTTCTGAGTGCTATGTTTACTTGCAGCTCAAACTAATAGGGTAAACTAATAGCTGTCTCTCTTTGACAGCTGTAAGAATCCTAAGGAAATGATTGTCCCTCTTGCATTCTGTATGTCCCTCGTGCCCTCCGTTCCACCATTGATGGCCGCACTTTCAGCCACTACGCCCCGAAACTCTGAACACTCTTCCTCTATCCGTCCGCCTTGCCTACGGTCAACTCCCCCTCCCCCCAGCTTGGCGTTGTGCTCCGCCACTGTCAAGCACTCTGGGACGCTACCCTGCGTGAAGGGCATTATATAAAGTTGTTGTTGTTGATTTAGCCATGGTTCCCAATGGGCGTAAGGCAACAATTTGATACAAATCAACAAGCTCACTTTAAAGAGATCTTAAGAATGGAACAAATCGTATACTGATGCTGGATATTCTCAAGGTTTGGTTAACATGATGTTATGAGTGGTTCTGAGGGACCTGTACTGTTTTTTATAGCCCTGGTTACATCTAACTGGAGAATGCTTGATGCTGACACTGGGTGTCCAAGGTGAAAGCAGATCCCGTTGGTTATCTTTGTCATCATTTTGGTGAAATAAGTTTTTTAAAAAGTCAAAATGTGGATGTGAGCAAAATAGTATTTGTTCACGTAAAGTTAGCAGCTTAAACAATTCAGTTCAGATGATTGATGACTAAAGATAGAAAGATGTTTTGCCAATTTCAATTTCTATTCCCACAACAGAAGTGTTCACTTGTCAGCTGTTCATTGAGAAGAGCTGACTGTACTTCTGGAGCAGAAGGTGAATGAATTGGATTCTACATTTCTTCAGTCTTCACTGGTGCGTGGAAATTCTTCCAGGGCAGTTGATGTTTCTTCAACTTA